CAGAAATCTTCAGACTCATCGCCCTGATGATGGAGGCAGTATGCAGCGCAACAACCCAGCAGACAGAAATCTTCAGACTCATCGCCCTGATGATGGAGGCAGTATGCAGCGCAACAACCCAGCAGACAGAAATCTTCAGACTCATCGCCCTGATGATGGAGGCAGTATGCAGCGCAACAACCCAGCAGACAGAAATCTTCAGACTCATCGCCCTGATGATGGAGGCAGTATGCAGCGCAACAACCCAGCAGACAGAAATCTTCAGACTCATCGCCCTGATGATGGAGGCAGTATGCAGCGCAACAACCCAGCAGACAGAAATCTTCAGACTCATCGCCCTGATGATGGAGGCAGTATGCAGCGCAACAACCCAGCAGACAGAAATCTTCAGACTCATCGCCCTGATGATGGAGGCAGTATGCAGCGCAACAACCCAGCAGACAGAAATCTTCAGACTCATCGCCCTGATGATGGAGGCAGTATGCAGCGCAACAACCCAGCAGACAGAAATCTTCAGACTCATCGCCCTGATGATGGAGGCAGTATGCAGCGCAACAACCCAGCAGACAGAAATCTTCAGACTCATCGCCCTGATGATGGAGGCAGTATGCAGCGCAACAACCCAGCAGACAGAAATCTTCAGACTCATCGCCCTGATGATGGAGGCAGTATGCAGCGCAACAACCCAGCAGACAGAAATCTTCAGACTCATCGCCCTGATGATGGAGGCAGTATGCAGCGCAACAACCCAGCAGACAGAAATCTTCAGACTCATCGCCCTGATGATGGAGGCAGTATGCAGCGCAACAACCCAGCAGACAGAAATCTTCAGACTCATCGCCCTGATGATGGAGGCAGTATGCAGCGCAACAACCCAGCAGACAGAAATCTTCAGACTCATCGCCCTGATGATGGAGGCAGTATGCAGCGCAACAACCCAGCAGACAGAAATCTTCAGACTCATCGCCCTGATGATGGAGGCAGTATGCAGCGCAACAACCCAGCAGACAGAAATCTTCAATTTACTTATTGTTTCGTATAAATGTGATAACTGGTTTCTCGCGTTTTGTGAAGAACACAGAATGCTGAGGAAAACATTGGAAGTGGGAGAGGTGTAGTAACATGAAAACGGAAGGAATTTGCATAACGAAAATTTTTATAACTTTTACTATTTGCAGAATATTATTAGCCTTATCAATTAAAGGACATATGATGGACACGGAATGTAGCATGCATAGAAGATATGCAAAATCCTGGAAAAGACTTAATTGGAAAATATGAAGGGAATAGAACACTTGGAAGACCTGATCGTAGATGGTAGGCCAATATTACACGGCATCTTGGGAAGGAGAGAGAGAATGAATGAATATCTCTATGACGTCACTTCGGATATTTTGCAGTTGAATACGGCAAAGACTGACTATTACGTTCGTATTTAGTGAAATGTTATTAAAGGTGTGTGACATTTGTCTGTCCGACATATGTGCTTAGCTGTCAATATGGATTTTAATTTAATAATTAAACTGATTCATTATTGTGCGTTACTCCATTTCTTTAATATTTATTATCTGTGGCTGGCGCGAGGTGGTTAGCTACTGGAAAGAATAATAATCAACAAGTTGATAATGCAGTCAGCTACTTTTGTCACTTGACAGATTCTGATGAAAGTATTGGACGTCTAGATAAACTTTATTTTGAGTTACGAAGATTCACTCTTACGTGGGGCATGTTACACGCAAAGGGGAACTGAGACATTCACGTAAGTTTACTCTTGGATGGAGAATCTCAAAAGAAGGAGAATATGGAAGATCTAGGCTTAGATACTACGATAATATTTTATCTACATTAATTAATTTAATACAAAGTCACTCGTAGAACTGAGAAGGATCAACATATAACCCGGGAGCAGACATTTCTTAATTCGAGACCAACTTTTCGGCTCCATGAAGGAGGATCAACATATAACCCGGGAGCAGACTTTTCTTAATTCGAGGCCAACTTTTCGGTTCCATAAAGTCTGGAAACATTTTAATCTGCTGACGTGTGGTCGACTGTAATATATGGAGCCTAACGCTGGAACTACCCACTGCTTTCTTCGACGCTTCGTCAAAAGATGGCAGGTCGAGTCAAATAATTACGTTTTTAATGACGAGTCTCATTGTTAGGTTAGGTTACCTTACACATTAAAAAATCTGTGGCTTAAATATTAATTCTCTGATATTTAGGAAACTTTATTAAATTATTACATCAATGTGTTCCTTGGCACCTTTAGGTCCATTTAAGGAATTAATGAGGCAAAGTATATTTTAGGATGAAACATTTTTACGTTGTATATGAAACCAACAGCTGCTGAATTTTGTTGGCGTGTAAGAAGCAAGTAAACAATAGTGCTCACAGATGTCACGCCGCAGAGGATTATGGTCCCCAGTCGGATTTGCCTCCATTGCTAAGCTTCGTAGACACACGCGAACATAACCTCACAGCACTCACTGAACTGAATCCTTGTGCCCAGTGGGAAATCAAAGAAGTTGCTTCACCATTAAGACACGGATTTAATTCCATTACGGTTCAACATAACAAATGGTGTCTCTGTTTTACGTGGTTGGAAGTCTTTCCCCCTTTAGTTACAATTTTAATTTCCAACATTTCTTATTAGAAAACAGAGCATTTAGGACGAGTTCAGAGGCAGCCCTTCTGTAATGTTGCGTCGAGCGACAGGATAACATATTGAAATCTCTAGATTTTAACAAGTCTAGTCTATTTAACGGCATTGGGTTATGTAACATTGACTGAAACACTCGCGATGATAAATAGAATTGACAGAAAACAGATTTAAAATATGAGCACGTCTTTAAAATGAAAGTTTAAATTAATTTTTACTAAAGATAGAAAACAGCACCATGAGAAAATATCAATAAACGTTTATAAACATGAAAAATTTTGGGTTGAAATGTAAAAAAATATTTAAAGACTTTTCTGGAATTTGTCATTCGATTAATCGCACGTTGGTAGGGGACACTGAAATGACACAGTTATGTTCTAGTTGACTGGTTTTATTAAAACTACCGTTAGCTTCCACTCATGTGAGCATTTGAATCAAAACCGATATTCATTGCTTTTACGCTGTCTAATTTTGCCGAGAATGTAGAATATCCACTCATGTGAGCATTTGAATCAAAATCGATATTCATTGCTTTTTCGCTGTCTAATTTTACCGAGAATTTAGAATCTAAATATTTTATTTGTAGAGCGAAGTGTGTTGTCATCATATCCGAATGTTCTTGGTAGCAATAATTTATTTTCCTTAAATTTTCATGGCCCCGTTAAGAGACAGTATAATGATTTAACAAGAGTCAAAAGTTTTCAAGTTACTTTCGACAAACTAAAGCAGAAAGGCGCTGTTTTAAAACGACATATTTCGTTCAAAGCATCTAGAGTGTTAAAACTACGTCACGGCACACCTCTTTAAAGTCCTGAATAAGTTTTCAACTTTCCTGACGCAAGCCTGCTGTAATTAAATGTTTGTGTCTGAAGAACGGATTTAATATGGGGGGGTCATTAAAACAGCAAAGTTTATTATTTCTTTCAAGAATTAATTACGTACTTTAGTTAGGTCATAAATCTTTACTATTACAGAGCATTTAAAATGTCCCACAAATTTACAAATCTCAGTACGTAAATTTTTATCTCAAGAGCGTTTTTTCCAAGTAATAATTCACATCTCTCCCATGAAAACTGCATAAATACACAGCCAGTTTCATCATTTTTATGTGATCACTCTGATTAATAAAGAGTTAAATTAACTAATCCTCTTACTGTGTAATGTTCTCCATTCCCTAGTCCAAATATTCTCCTCAGAACCTTGTTCTCAAAGGCCTTGAATCAAAAGACATAATTTCAAACACACAGACATTGCTGTCTTCTAGATTGCAGCGCCGTGTATTATAGTAGATATTTATTGGCGTTTCGGAGGTCCATGTTGCCTCCATCATCAGGACGATGAGTCACTGATCGCCATTTTAGAATTATCCTCCATAATAACCTCAAATCCTACTTACCAAATAGTTTTAGGTTGAAGAAACGTGTTTCTCTACCAGGTTGGACTGTGCGCCAGGAACAGTTGAGTTTTGGACAGAACGTGCTTTAGAAATCTAGCAACAAACGAACAATAACACACACACGTCTATTTTTGTAACTTGGCTGATGTGGTTGGTCGCGACGCATAGAAGATTATGACGTGGATGGGCCCAGTTTATCGCTGACACCTCGTACAGCTTCGTTCCAGGTGTTCAGCAACGTATGTTGGCAGCACTGGAAACATTTGAACTTCTGTTAAAGATGGATGATTATTACTGAATTAAAATGGTTTACCTTCATACATGGGAGCAATGTTCATCGGGGAAATCATATAGGCAGTTGATAAATGTTGTGTAAGCAAACCAAAGAACATTTTTGAGAATTTTACAGGTTAAGGAAAGAAGGATTTACAGGCAGAGTCCGCACTTCGACACACGAAAGAAATTAAAATGTCACTACAATTTCTCTCTGAAATGCGGTCGGATGTAAATAATCACATAAATTTAACTTAATTCTTACCTTAAAGACATCCTCCATCATAGTTCCAGATTTTGCTCTGTTATTCTGAGAAACGATACTTAATTTAATTAAGTTCATAAGTTTACTGTGCAAGCAACATACAGAGACGTAGGAAGTTAAACCAAGTTGTACACGTAATTGTTATTGGCCATTAAAGACTTAGTTTGAATGGAATATAAATTTAAACAATTTGTTGCTATTTATGATATGGTATTTTGACAGCATCTTTTGTTTCTTGAAATTAATGACGGGCAGAATACATAATAATAACAATTTTTATAAAAAAGTAGTAAACTTGTCCACTTAAATTTTTTTTAGGATTTTTACTGTGTCATTCTATATTTCTCTTATAATTAGGCGACGTTTCGGCAGTGATGGCGTTGATCGAAAAAATTCAGACGCAAGAAATTTCTTTGTTTTTATTTGCTGTTTTCGGGACACATACTATTTATGAAATGCAATTCATAATACCATTTCTTTTACAAGTTCTGATATTTACACTCGTAATTTGGCTAAATGAAATAAAGACATGTAAATAAGTTTCTATTAATATCAGAATTTTGCTACTGAAAGTGAATCTTTGCAACACGCACACACATAAATAGTTGAGCAAAGTCACAGCACACAGAAAACACAAATGTTATGTGTACAGTATTATCTATTCTATACACAATTATTAAACACAGGCATATAACTCAGTTCAAGAGAAGATCATTGTTCATGAAAATAGGATTTGTCTTTGCAACACACACTGGGACACGTAGTTTCCTAAACGACCACAAGAGGAGCGACACATTTTTCCACAGACGATTGTCTTTTCGCTAGTCAAATGTTTAATGTCTTTAACCACCTCAGCGCGCTGCAATCGGAAGTTTTTTTTTCTTCTAAAGAAACAAATGAGTGGCACTTTGCGAAGGTATGTCTTCAGTGTTTTTAACACATTTATATAAGTTTTAATGTATATTTTCGGGTTTAATATTTATTTATATATATTATATTTCTAATTAACGGTCTGTATATGCGTTAGAACTGTTGGAACTTCAAAATTTATAAAAAAAAGTATTTCCAGTCTTTCGTTAAGATTACATCCTCAAGAGTTCAATTCTAAAGGAAAAGACGATGATATATCATATCGTAATGATCACACCGATTTCTGGACGTCAGGGCTCCGGAAAGGAAGCAATGTTCAAAAAAAAAATAATCCAGAATTTGAAGGAATTGTTTGTACGTTGTAAAACGAAGCATCATTGGGAAATTCAAATTTGGATTGAGATTTTATGGCGAAAATCAAGTACTGGAAACAGACGTGTATAAAATTTTTATAAGAAAAAATAAAGACACATATTTATTTGTTCAAAACATTTTTATATATGAACATTAACTATCATGGTGACTTCACAGGCTTTGTGTCCATATCTCGAAAAAAAATTAAAGTAGCTGAAATATATACTCGAAAAAATTTTGGACAGAAGTGTACAGTTAATGCTTGCTTTATCACACAGAAAAAGGCATTAGCAGACATCAGTTCTAAATAAAATATTTTTTTTTAACTGCAAATAAAATTAATCTTTTCTGTTGGAAAGGAAAATGTATCATCGCCATGAATTTGGAATATCCAGCACTACTGTATGATTCTTTCGACAGCGGAATCATAAATCGTCATAGATTGATCAGCCTCTGATACGAGACTCATCAGTAAAACGCTCCCACGACTTACTGAAGCTTTAGAATTCTCGCAATTCATTCAATTATCAGATTTAATGGACTCGTGTTATTTGGTGGCTTTTTCAGTAAATTCAACGCCAGAACCACGAGATTTTGAGATAATTGGAAAACGTTCATCATCTTAGGCGAACATAAAAATAAATAAATTCCGAAAATAAAATTACACAAGATAAAACAAAGCAGTTATAAATAAACACAGCATAAAATTTGATAAATATGGCGATTAAATTCCAATTAAAATTACGCAACGACACTAATTTGACGAATAATTTAAATATATAATTCCCTTGGAACAACGCTACCCCAGTCAGTTCAGAATCACGTGTCTTCTCGTATGCCAATTGACAACATAAGCAATAAACTAAAACTGGGTGTAAAATATTAGTCTCTGGTCATAAGAGAAGATTAATTATTAAGTCTTGCGATTTATAATGACAGATTTATCGGGGAAAGGCCCTGAATTTTTCAACGTAGGGGCTATTACAACTGCTGGTAGATTATCCCATCATCCAACTTGTCCTTCGTGAAAAGGATTTCGTTTCAATGCGGTCCTAGGAATTTATTCCAGAAGTGTTAAAATCGGTTTGATTAATCGACTCCATGATTTGGGAATAAAGTCTGTAACCTTTTCGTATCACACAAAGGAATTTGCCTTATAATAGAGGAAAATCTTGGAAAAGACCAGTCAGATTAGCCGAATAGTCAGACCATTCGTTACGCCTAATTCGCAGTCATTTTAGGGGCAACATAGGCTGGCCTGCTGTATATCAGTTAACCTCGGTTGCCCTTGGGTGAGCTCGTTCAGTTTTCGGCTGCTATAAGTGCCTTACAATTTTTTGAAACTAGGAGTTTTACCGACGTCACGTTAATTTAAGTCAAAAATCTTGGTCAGAGCTTTGATTCGGTCGAAGAATTATGACCTTAATAAAGATTAAAAGAATTGGAGCCTCCGGACATGGGTGAAATCTATGAAGTAACTTTAGGGAGCCAGAACTCGTCTCTGTCCTGAGACTTAAAAATTCGGCTGACAGGCTCCCTCACTATTTCTGTAAGATATCATAGACAAGCCAACTGCAGTTATGTCTGAGACAGCTGTTAGAACTTAGCATTCTATTTTGAAAGGAGTGGAGGTTGGTATGAATAAATACAAAATGTACATTGATTTCAAATAATCTTCAGCTGAAACAAATAGCATCCAATTCTCGGAGTAGACAGTGAAACTGTAAATGTAATCCATGAAAGAAGACGGATTTGGAGATCTTCAGAATTCAACAGACTCTTGGTTTTGTTCACAACGACTGAGTGTTAAGTTCTGTCAATTTAGACGATGTTGATGAGTTGCCAATGTGCGAAGGAACAGAAACGATATTGAACAAGGCTTCAGTGACGTGTTATAAACGACAATTTTGACACTCGTTTGCAAGAGGTTCAGAATATCCATCTGACACAAAGCCAAGAAGTTAACTCGAGCATATCTGCTAAAAGTCTTACACATGATTCCAGGACGGTTAAGAGGCGAGGTAAACATACCTCAGTCTTCCGTTGTCCGGATGATGGCCTCAGGGTTGCCTTAAAGACGTTTGCATGCACACGAGACATTAGCCTTTTCTCGGTGCCCAGCATTTAGCACCAGGAAGATGTTTGAAGATTAAACATGGGTTGGAGTACAGACACCTTCGTTAGGGTCTCGTTGAGGCAGGCAGAACAAAGAAGAATGTGATGCTTTCATAAAGCGCCTCAATAGTACACGTTTTTTTTCAAATAGCAGGTTCAGAACTTTGAGGTGAATTTGGTCTTCATAAAATGTGAGAATGGTACTACATAGTATTGTCTTCAGAGAAATAATGTTTCGTGCCTCATATTCGTAAACCAAATGCTTTGAGACACTTTATATGATTTTACTCGTCCACAAAAATCCAGTGGTTATATTATTACCACTGTAATGTTAGTCAATGATCCATATGTCTTGTGGTTCAAACCGGATGAAATTTGTGCCAAATTCTTCCTTATTTATTTTGAACACGTTTAAATTTCAGATAATGAACTACTAATATAATAAATAAAATTAGTTTTGTGTTCGTAGAAACAAAAATTGCAAAAGTATGTTTAAAATATCGAGATTGTCAAATTATTGGGGAATTAAACTACTCTGAACATTTATTTGTAGATGGGGAGTATGCAGTGAAATGAGTGTTGAGTAACAGACTACGAAAATGTAGAATACATTCACTTGGTCCAGGTTAGGCAGTGATAGTCCCTTGTACACACGCAAATAAAACTTCAAATTCAATTGAATGAGTCAAATTTTTGGTCTAGGTGAGCGACTGTATCTTAAGAAAGGCTGTGTTTCAAGTATTTAGTTTAGAAAATGTATGATTTGAGGTTTTCACATTTGGTGAGCTGTACTAGAATTTCAGAACGTAGAACAACGCAGGCCACAGTGCGTCTAATTACGCTTCGGCTAGACATGAAGAAATACTTTATTTGGTACGTGAAACATAGAGACGACCTCAAAAACTCCTGAGACACAGGTCAATTATTGTGCCTGTGGTCAGACTCCAAGTCCTTTAGGCGAATTAATCACACCTTTGAAGTTTACCGATTTTCAGAATAAATTTCAGTAGTTGATACAATGTTTATTAATTAGCGCGAGTTCTGAAAAAAAAAATTCTTATCGCGTATTGCTTACTGAAAGCCTCAAATAGAATCGATAAACTATTTAACTTAATTTTATTTTAAAAATCACACGCCTTTATTCAAATAAATTTAATTTCAGAAAATGTGGGATTGTATTTTTCTTTCAAAGACGAAACACTCACACAAAAAAGGAACTGCAACAGTTTCTGTCCTTTTTTTAATTTCTGGAGGGTTAGAGTGCGATGTGATTGCTTTTCACTTACTGAGCTAAACTGTCTTACGTACTTAGTCTTAGTGAATAGAAAATACATCGTTTTCTAAGATGAAGCTTTATCGTCGTGGTTTCTTATCCGAATGAAGACGAAATGTCAATTCTTCACTAGCCACGTCATCATTGCAGTCATATTGCACTTATTTCTTCTCCTTCTACGATGTCTCTGTCGGTAGAATTCACTCTGGTCTGCCTCAGAGTTCCAACTGAACCCGCAGAACTTCTAGGACTACTGCTCTCCTTGAGCTGCGTGCAGGAACCGTTGTGTCTCGGAGTGCCGCTGACAGTAAGTCCCTTTTTGCCCCTAAGGCTTCCAAAGTCATCACCGTCTCCAGCACTTCTCCTCTTTCCACCTCCAAGAGAAGACCTCCCGCTCACGGACTCATACCCACATTTACCATCGCAACAACATGGCGGGTAATGCGTAGTCAGAATCCTCCGGAAAGCTTCACGAAACTCCGTGTTGAATATGGAGTAAATGATGGGGTTGAAGGCTGAATTGGAGTAGCCGAGCCACGTGAGGATCTTGAAGACGATGCCGGGTATGCAGGTCTTGCAGAAAGCTGCCACGATGTTGACGCAGAAGAATGGTACCCAGCATATCAGGAAGACGCCCATGATGACGCCAACAGTTATGGCGGCCTTGTGGTCTGACACGTGGTACGGCGAAGACTGATGGTGAACCTGTACCTTGCTGGCAAGGGCGTGTTTGGAAGATGTGGACTGAGTGGGCGAGTTTGAATCCATGGTGGCACCGAAGTTGGTCGTGGCTGAGGATGCAGTGAGAGGCCTCGTCACTGCCCGAATGTTCTTCACGTGCTTCTGGGCGTAGAGATAGAGCCTGCAGTATATCCCGAGCATGACCAGAGTTGGGAAATAGAAACTGATGCAAGACGAGACGACGGCGTACGTCGGGGTCAGGTCGAGGGCGCAGGTGGGGTACTCGGTGTCACCCGCGTGGTAAACCAGAGGTTGAGGAGGGCGGTGTAGTCCCAGGGAAATGGGAACGAAGGATATTAGAGCCGCCAGCAGCCAGATGCCGGCAATGGAGCCCACGGCTACACGCCTCGTGACCCATCGTCCGTACCTACGACACAAAAGAACTTTACACGAGCAATTTGCGTCCAATAAATTACCAGACATCAGAATATTATGTTTTTGTTGTTCGGATTAATTTAACCATGGCAGTATCATTATGATCAGCATAATTAGATGGTAAAGTTACAATTATTTTAATAATTAATAATTCAGAATTCAACAGATGCTAAAAATCACTGAACAAATTTTAAGTGTGTGTGTTTTTTTTTGCGTGGGGGGGGGGGTCATTCAAAGCTGTCTCGATGTATATTATAGTATCTACGCCCAAAAAAAAGGGATTTCTTATACTGTTACAAGATCACGTTTATTTATTTTTCAATTCTTTCATTTTACCAAATTGTCCTCCGTTCGAGAAGCGATAGATCGATTACACACAATTATCTCGTTTTGATTCAAGTGCTGTACGGAACGAAAAACATGTTTTGACAATGTCCTGGTGCCGTGAAAGGCTATTGTCTACTGCAGAGGAATGAGAGATTTATGCTTGTAGGAGAAAAATTTCGGACTTGATATTGAGTTCTATCTTGTTACTTTTAAACCGTATCTTCAGTCCCACACTTCGCACGACACAGGAAGATGAAATTGGCCATCAGTGTTTCCTCATCGTCAGAGTTACATTCAGAAATTTCATAAAGAGAGTTTAATCAAAGCAAATTTTTTTTTTCGTACGTAATTTTCGTCTTGAAAATTGGTTTTGACGACAGTTTCGTCATTATTCTTTATCTGTAAATCTAGTAAGAGGCACAGTTCTGCTCTCAAAACGCAGTGATATTTTGAGATTGGAACCTAATCTAAGAGTACAGCTCCGAAGTATCAATATGCCAATCAGATTTTGAATAAATGACTCTTCTAACATTATTTATACCAATCACATGTTAGATAATTACATCCAAAGAATATAAATATTTATATAAAAATAGTTATAAAATTATTATCGGTTCTTTGGAAAAAATTTAAATTTTTTTATAATAATGATATGGAAATAAATACCTTCTAATTACTAGTTACATTTGTTTTAGAAAATAAATCATTCTGAGAAATTTGGTAAAAATCACCGTAAATAATTTTTATCATTTTATATCCTTAACAAATACATAGTAGTGTTATTCTTGCCTTGGGATTTCGCGAATATCATATATAAACATGCAAAAAATAATTCAATCACGATAATATTATTCATTTTCATAGAATATGTTTTGGTATGTATAATTATCTTATTGACTTCCACACGAAAGAACTCTAAATAAATTCACTACTTTTAAAGACAGCAGCTGAAGTACAACGTATTAGATTTTTGTTCCTTGTTCAATTCAGTTGCCAAATTCGTAAATCCGATGTGCAAACGGGCCGTTAGGTTATACATTATTGCACAGTGATTATGAACATGTATCATAAAGCCCGCTTTGTTGTAATTCTTGGAGTAAAAATGGATAATTTTTGTAAGAGGGACAGAAGATTTGTAGTTACAGTTTAAGTTAAAGAATTCCTTATCTTTTTTCCAAAAAAAAAATAACCAGATCGTCTTTATTATCTTCATTATTTGAAGAACACGGTGAGCTGTTCAACAGTTTCCTTTGTTTTGTGAATAATTAGACGCGCAATATGGATATCTAACCTAACCTAACTTAATCTAAGCTAACCTAACCCAAACCAACCTAACCTAACCTAACCTAACCTAAGCTAACCTAACCTAACTTAACTTAACCTAACCTAACCTAACCTAACCCAACCTAAGCTAACCTAACCTAACTTAACCTAACCCAACCCAACCTAACCTAACCTAACCTAAGCTAAGCTAAGCTAAGCTAACCTAACCTAACCCAACCTAAGCAAACCTAACCTAACTTAACCTAACCTAACCTAACCCAACCTAACCTAACCCAACCCAACCTAACCTAACCTACCCTAACCTAACCTAACCTAAGCTAACCTAACCTAACTTAACCTAACCCAACCCAACCTAACCTAACCTACCCTAACCTAACCTAACCTAAGCTAACCTAACCTAACTTAACCTAACCCAACCCAACCTAACCTAACCTACCCTAACCTAACCTAACCCAACCTACCTAACCTAACCCAACCTAACCTAACAACCTAACCTCAATGCCTTAACAAGCAGTCCGCCTAAAACAATGTAGGTTAGCGCTTCTTAAAAGTAATGGATGTTCGATATAACAAGTTACTTCGAAGGATTTGCGACATGAAATTGTAATCTGAAATAAACCTATATTATTGAGATTAAATGTTTACATATATTTTGAGCAAAGTTGTTGGCAATTATGACATTTTATAACCTAATGACCACTACTAATTAATAGGCTCTGTCAGGTGCACAAAGGACTGAGGTTCCTACTGGTTTTACTTAATCCTTGACGCAATATGTGAGACAGCAGATCTGCCTTAAAATAGACCACGAAACGTAAACTAACTGTAAGGAACATGAGGTACCTCAGCGGGTCCTTGATGTGGATATACCGGTCCAAGGATATGGCGCACAAGTTCAGGATTGACGCCGTGGAGCACATGACGTCGAACGCGATCCACGTGTCGCAGAACTGCGCCCCGAACATCCAGTAGCCGAGCAGGTCGTTGACGACGGCGAACGTCATCACGAGGCTGGACACAAACAGGTCGGCGATGGCTAGTGACGCAAGGAACAGGTTCCCGATGCGTCTCAAGGCCCGGTCTGTGTAGATGGCAACGCACACCAGGATGTTGCCCGCGATGGACAGGAAGATCACCAGCGACAGGAACACGCCTGCGCAGTATTTATACTTATTTAACGACGCTCGGACTGTGTGGCGTCGAATGATATAAGGATAGGGGAGGGCGTGATCGTGGCCTATTGTAGGTACTATCCCAACATTTGTCCGGAGAGATCTGAAGCTGGGATTCTCCTGAATTTGAAATGTAAGTAGCAATCACATCTTTCCTGGAAACAGGTCCTTAGGCGCAGACTGACTTAGCTATATAGATAAGCTCGCCTCTTTTCTCTATTCTGAAACAATTTTCAAGCTAGTTTTTTTTTTTATTTGTAGTGTTCTGTTTGACGACAGGTCCATATGAACAGGATTCTTCCATCCTTTTCTCGGACTGGGATCTGTTCATATACGTTCTTGGCAGATGATCCAGAAGTGGTTTGCCATTGCCTTCTTCTGTGTGTGTGAATGGAGTAATTGTTGGGATGCCACGGAGAAACCGGGGAAGCCCCCGGAGGAAAACTCCGTGTTGCCTAGACCACGGCCTTGCCCAACACAAGTTATAAATTCGGGCACCGCCGGGAATCGAACCCGAGACTCCAGGATTACAAGGCCAGTGTTCTATCCGCTAGACCACCGTGGCTATATAGATATATATATATATATATATACTACTTATTAATAACTGACAGTGGGAGATTTGACGCACATAAAATTCCACTGTCTTCAAGTAGTTCACCTGTCATGCACTAGATGACAGGAGAAGATGGATGTCAAATACGACCGGCATCTGCGGATCCTTTACTAGGTAAGATGTATATTTTCCAAGACGGTATTTCATTTTCACTAATGTATGATGCGTTAAGATCAAGAAAAGTAAGTTTATTGCGACCATATTACTTAAATGATAGATGGTCTGATCTTCTGGTATACTTGACTCCTTCCAAGCAAAGTTTTATCAAGGCGTCTGCCTAGACAATTGAGACAGATATTCATGCCTTGAGCTGGATTCAAACGCACGATTTTAGGTTATAAAGGCGTCGGACCGCGGTTGCATATCTTGTAAATAAATATGAATATTTATGCAAATTTTTCACTCTGCTTGGGGTTTGGACATGGGGTTTCACAATCCTTCTTGTAAAACTAAATATGCCGATTAGTTTTAAATGTATTTTGATTCTCAGGACAGTTCCCGGTGGTGAACTTTGTTATTAGTAGTGTTAAAATATCGGATTCTGCTCACTACAGTGTATGCAGTTAATTATAACTGCTAAAATTGCACTCACTGTGAAGGATTTCAAGAGCACTCACCGACAAGGACGACGGTTAGCGTGGTGAGAGCATCGGGCCGCGGGTTTTCGTCATTAGCAGTGCTGTTTCCAGGCGTCAGCTCCGTCACGTCGTCATGCTGGAACAAGAAACTAGTATTACCCTCTGCGCCAAAATCCTATGGCACAACGCCTATCAAAGCCCGTCCAGCCATTCTCGAGTTATAAGCGTGTCTTGTACGACATTATTACACGCAATGACGTCATGGCGACGTAATCAGTCGCGCACAGGATCATGGGAATAGAGAAATGGCGTGGGATTGTCCTCAGACCTCGAGTAATCGATCGGTCGCGTTTGTATTATCGACTGTAGGAAATTGAGAACTCTAAGTTACCAAACTCCTCGAGAATCCGATCAACGTGTTGTCGGATCATTGCACGGCATAGCGATGTGGAGTTTGTAAGACCGTCAATAGATGGCAGCATGATATCAGCTTTCTGACGCCACAAAGAGACAAGTTCAGAAGACGTCCACATGGTCTTATTCGTTCATGATAAGACGTAAAGAACGCCTCAGATGTTGAAGAAAACAAATAACAACGGAGGAGGAAGGAGATGACAAAGAAGGAAAGGCAGGTAAAGTGAAATGACAAAGTGCATTTCTCAGAAACTGTGCATCGAGCTTTCGTAGAACAAATTTCTGACTTGTGTGCATGTAAACACCTGCATTAGACGATAACCTGTCTAAAGCGGAGAGAAGTTAGGTCCCTTGGAATTTGATATATGCAAAAATTTCGCTATATTTTCGCTACAGTCCACCGGATGCTCCTCATTACTGCCCTTCATCAGGTCAAATTCGTCTTGTCGCCATGTTGTTTTACAGACCGAATATATGCGTGTGTAGGCCGTAACAGGTAGTAACCCCTTCAACACTGACAACCATAGTTACTTTCTTTTCAAGCGTAACATTATAGACAGTGGTAAAACAATACCCGGATTAAAATATTTTTCTTTTAAACAAGCTTCTGGAGTGTACATATTTTATTGTACACGTAGGCAGTACGCCTGAACGTTTCGACAAACCCGCATAACGTCAGGGGAATAAAACGGAAATAAAGAACATATTTTGGATGTCGCTGGAGAATTCTGGGTAGAGTGGTGTTAGGTGTTAGGTGTTGAAGTCTGTGTGGCTATGCTGGCGGCATCTGGCGTCAGCGCAGAGAATTATGTAGTTCAAGAACGACACAGGGACCCTTCAGGCCAGCAAGTTTCTTATTTCCTCCCCAGATGGCAGTGGCCACACTGTCCTCTAAACAACCTGTTAATATTTTGCAAAGTCGAACGATTACGCAGGTATATTTTTGCTTACTGTTATCCATAACATTAAAACATTTGATGGTATAAAAATGGAATTCATCCTAAAACTTATATCGTGAATCCCAGGTGCCGAATTTAATCGAAATGAATTCAATACTTTCAAAGATGAAACTTAATTAACTTTGTACAAAGATAAGTTACATGTTGACGTAGACAGTTATTATATAAATTGGGGCACCGCCGGGAATCGAACCCGAGATCCCCAGGATTACAAGGCCAGCGTTCTAACCGCTAGCCCACCTCATCTTATTATTATTTAGTGTTCTGTCTGACGAGAGGTCCATATGAACAGGATCCTTCCCTCCTTTTCTCGGACTGGGACCTGTTCATATACGTTCTTGGGAGATGATCCAGAAGTGGTTTGCCATTGCCTTCTTCTGTGTGTGAATGGAGTAATTGTTGGGATGCCACGGAGAAACCGGGGAAGCCCCCGGAGGAAAACTCCGTGTTGCCTGGACCACGGCCTTGCCCAACACAAGTTATAAATTCGGGTATCGCCGGGAATCGAACCCGAGACCCCAGGATTACAAGGCCAGCGTTCTAACCGCTAGACCACCGTGGTATTGACGTAGGCAGTGTGAACAATTAATTTTTATGAAATTAAAACAAGTTATGTGCCACGTCACAATAACGAGACAGCAGTGTCCCAGAGTCCAAGGTTTTTTTTTGCATAGTTAATTCTTTCAGAAGCAGAACATGGAGATAGCACCTTATTGCACGCTACTTCAACGTTCAAGGCTGCAGTAAGCCCCTTGTCAATTTTAGGTGACACGCTGAAGCAAAGTGCCTCTGCATGAAATATTGACCTCCCAGCTCGAACAATGCACGGCGACTGAGCGTCAACTGTCAACTCCTTCCTGTCTGTAGAGAAAAGTAGACGTTTGCTGTATTACAGTTTGAGGCCTGTGAAAAATATTTAATCCATAAAATTAACAGCAGCCAAATCATTAACAAACACGTGATCCAACGATCGAAACATTAAGATCTAAGTTCAATGTACCATTTACGTCTATCAGCTTTTGATGCAGTCAACAAATCACATTAACAAATACCATTTACCATTGTCGTTCGGTATTTATAGAAGTAATTCGCAGGCAGAAATCCATGGTGAGCATTATTGAAGACATTTTCGTGTACAGGTATACCTCGATTTATTGCGCTTCGCAGATATTGCGTTTTTATTTTTAAAAATTGAAGGTGTGTGGCAACCCTGCGTCGAGCAAGTCTATCGGCGCCATTTTCCCAACAGCATGAGCTCACTTCGTGTCTCTGTGTCACATTTTGGTAATTCTCGCAATGTTCTCGCAATATCTTTTAGACATAATGCTATTGAAATCTTAATAGACTATAGTATACTGTAAAAATAACTTTTATATCCACTGGGAAATCGAAAAATTCGTGTGACTCGTTTTATTGCGGTGGTCTGGAACTGAACCCGCAATATCTCCGAGGTATGTCTTGTAAATAAGACTAAAGACAATGTCAGCGTTAATACTGGTAAGTTTCTATCTACGACGCCGAGGGTTGGGGCCAACAATATCAAACCACAGCTCAGGACGCTGAGGACCTCGAAGTAGAAGGTGGATAACGTCGGAGGATTCTTCGAAATGATCGCCTTGGGCATATGGATTGGTAGAACGACATGTGACTACGTTCGAGGAGGAAAACGGGAAGGTATTTCCGACGTACCGGTCAGAACGGGGGGGGTTAGGGGTTG